ACACAGAGCAGCACACCTGAAGGACGGAGCCCACATTTACCCTCCTGACCGCTCTGCAAATCTGCCAATCACAGCAGGATATGCTAATTATGAAAAGCAGCATCATCAGACTCTTATAACTTTCTGGTAACCACCCGACATCAGACTTTCACCGTAACGGGTAGCCGTTCACACCAGAGCAGGTAGGACCACTTTTCACTGGTGACTGTTTAATTACTGACTGACTCACTTTCCATAACTGGGGTGACCAGAAGGGCGACTGTCCTGTTGGGTCATTTTGGGTCAATTCTTTTTGTGAACTTATCATCAAATTTATAGACAATGTAAAAGGTAGGCTGGTTTAAAGTGTCCAGTGTCGGCTCTTCTAACGCTCTCTGTCCACTGGGTCCATTTAAGAGCAGCACAGTATCTAAGCGCTGCTTCTCCATGTTTAGTCTTCACCTTCAGCAGGACTGACTGACCAGTTCCTAATGATCTGAGAGTTCTGCTCGGCTCATATCGCTGCAGCAGATCAGATAAATACGCTGCTCCTGCACCACTAGGACGTTAAGACAACTGCTAAAACTTAAGTCATTTTCTATACTATTAAGTAATTAAACAGCTAAATAATTGGTTACATTTTGATGTGATTTACATTCTGTTGCATCTTCACTTTTTTCCAAATTGTTTCAGTGTTAACACTGATCAAAATGTAAACTCTGCATTTTATTTCGGGAAAATAAGAATTTAATACACAACCATTATGATTAACTTATCAAACAAAACTTCATGTCTACAAAACAGTACAGTCCTCAATCTTGCCAAGTTTAATTTTATCATCCTGTTTGTTTGTTAAATATAACTGAGTGTCGTCGGCATAACAGTGGAAATTTATGCCGTGTTTACTGATAATGGTGCCCAGTGGTAGCATATATAATGTGAATAATACAGGTCCTAAAACAGAGCCTTGTGGCACACCATACTTTACTTTTGTGAGAACAGATGATTCACCGTTTAAATTAACAAACTGATAGCGATCAGTGAGGTAGGACCTGAGCCAGGAAAGAGCTATTCCTGTTGCCCCTACAAGGTATTCTAGTCTGTCTAATAAGATAGTGTGGTCTATTGTGTCAAATGCCGCACTAAGATCGAGGAGGACTAACAGAGACACATTTCCTTGGTCAGAGAATAATAATAATAGATCATTTACAGTTTTTACTAGTGCTGTCTCTGTACTATGATGTGGCCTAAAGCCAGATTGAAATTTTTCATGTATTTGATTCCTATGAAAATAGGAGCTTAATTGTTTTGCTACAACTTTAGTAGTTTAAGAGATTTTGGGATGTATCCAAGGATAAGAGAGGAGTTTATTACTGACAGAATAGGCTTGGTTATTTCTGGCAAAAGTTCCTTGAGTGAACCTGTAGGAATCGGATCTAACATACAGGTAGATGATTTTGCGGAAGAGACTATTTTAACTAGTTCATTTTCTTGAAGTAAGGCAAACGATTCCAGCCTCTCTGCAGGGATCATAGTATTCTCAAGACTGAGGCTGGCATTGTGGGGAAGCAGGTTTGTAGAGTTTAACTGTGCGTTCTGAATTTTCTGTCTAATTTTTTCAATTTTATCACTAAAGAAGTTCATAAAATCGTTGCTGCTATAGGCTGATGGTATCTGGGGTTCACTAACTGTTTTGTTCTCTGTTAGTTTAGAGATTGAGCTGAAAAGTAATCTAGGATTATTCTTATTGTTTTCTATGAGAGAGGAGAGAGAGGCTGAGCGTGCTGCAGTCAGTGCTCTTCTATAGTCTATAAGGCTCTCCATCCAGACGGACTGGAACACTTCTAGCTTAGTTAGGCACCATTTTCGCTCTAGTTGTCTGGCGGTCTGTTTTAAAGCCCGAGTGTGGTCATTATACCAAGGGGCAGCTTTTTCTGTCTTACTAATTTACTTTTTAATGGGGCCACACTATCTAGAGTAGATCAAAAATGATCCTCTAAGAGCTTGGTCATAGTATCTAACTCAGTAGGATCAGATGGACAGCTGACAGAAGCTGATAATATAGGGTGGTTGTTGTGGAAAAAGGAGACAGAACATATGGTCCTTCTTAGAATAGTCTAATTCATCTGGAACTAAAGAGGAAAGGGACCTTGACCCTTGGACCTTTGGACCAGGGCCCCCTCACTTAAACATACCAAACCTGCAACATCAGATAACACATGGAGCTTGGATACTACAACAGTAAAAGGGAAAAATTACATATACATAATTATTTAATTTTATTATTATTTTCCAACATGGTGATTATCACATTTGAAGCATCGTAATCAGGTCACTTGTCATTCATTGGTGACATCCGAGTACATCACTTTATGGCCCAGGACTGACTCTGGATTTGCTACAGGCCGTCACAGAGACGAGGATGGTAACAAAATTGGAGGACAATTTTGAGCCATCCACTCAACCAGTGGCTCATTCAGCCAATTAACCATTTCATTTTAATTGTTTGTTCAGTTTAGAGGTTGGAACTGGAACACAAGAACAGAAATGTTCACATAAGTACCTTTTATATACCCTTTCATTATATGGCTCTGGCATAATGACAGAGTTAAACATTTTAATTTAATTCAATTCCTGTGTCAGAACCTCAATTCTCTCTCTCTCTCTCTCTCTCTCTCTCTCTCTCTCTCTCTCTCTCCAGGCATTTGTAACTGCTAACTCGAATGAATACTGGATTGGTCTCACAGATGAAATCACAGGACGGTGGAGATGGACTGATGGAACACGTTATGTAATGGATAGAAAGTGAGTTTTTTTTTTTTTCCTTCTTTCAGATTTTGTTAATGCTGAGGTAATCCACCCTCGTCAGACAGGGATATTTTTCATTCTAAATCCTTTTAAAAACCCAAACAAGGTTTCAAAGCAAGAAGCCCAACTGCGTATGCGGTCTAGAAAGTGGTGCTAGAAGGTTTGTGAATGCTCTACAATTCTCTGAATTTCTACATAAATCTGACACTAAATGTCTTCGTTGAAAAGGAATTTGAAAAGTATGAAAACTCTGTGATGTTGGTGGATTTTGTTGCACATCTTTAGGTCCTGCCATGGCATTTCTGTTGGATTAAGGTCTGAACTTTGACTCAATTCCAAATTGCCAAACTTCTTCTGCCTCAACCTTCATACTTAGGAGGCTAAAAGTATCTTTGTCACCTTCTGTTAAGCTTCACTTCTAGAGGGGAGACTCTGACATTCTCCTGTAGAATTTCCTGAGACACTCCAGAATTCATAGCCCCATTAAATGATGGCATGTTTTCCTGGTCCAGTGGCAGCAAAACAGCCCCAAACCGTGATACTGCCACCACCATGTCTCAGAGTCAGGATGAGGTTCTTATGCAGGAACGCATTTTAAATTTTTCTCAAATGTAATGTTTCACATTTAAGCTTAAAGTTTCTGTTTTTGCATCATCCATCCACATTAAATTCTTTCGGTTTTCTTCTGGCTCACCTAAGTGATCTTCAGAAAACTTTAAACAACAAAGTTCTTCTTGGAGAGTAGTGGCTTCTTCCTTGCTATCGTTTCACACACAGTATTATTGCTCAGTGTAGCTTGATGTCGGACTCATGAACACTGACGGTAGACAGTGGAAGAGAGTTCTGCAGATGCTCAGGTGTTACCCTGGGGTTCTTTGTGATCTCCTAGAATATTGTATGTCTTTATCTTGCGGTGATTTTTGTTGGATGACCACTCCAGGGAAAAATGTCAGGTGTTGAATTTTCTCTATTTGTACAATATCTGCCCGACAGTGGATTAGTGAAGTCCAAAAAGAAACGGATGTTTAACTTCAAGCCTGATAAACATCGACAACAGTTTTTTTTCTTAGATACTTAAAAGTCTCCCTAAACTGAGACTTGTGACTCACGCTTGACATTAGACAGAGTTTCACTTTCTTTTACCAACAAAAACATTCACTATTGGATCACTTTGTTCACTTAATGACTGAAAACTATATACTTGTTTTGTGTTATTTGTTTTATCAGGTTCTCTTCTATTGTTATGACCTGAAGGTCTATTTCTATGACTTTTAAGATGAAGATCTGATCCCATTTCAAGTCAAATTTTAATTCTTAAAAGTCTTTCTAGCACCACTGTACAACCTATAATGATGAACTGAATTTTGTAAGACCCAAAATAAATTAAATTTACATCTACATCACTAAACTTTGGCTTAGTATAAAAAAGTCATGACACTTCTGTTTATTTTGTGTTTGGATCTTATGTACAGTTACTAGTGAAATGGTACAGAAAAAACTGTGTGACCATTGCAGGAAGTGGGGACATGGACAGCCTGATAACTGGAGCGGTGATGGACCGGATGGGGAACACTGTGCACATCTAAGATACAGGAAGCTGAATGACTTGCACTGCAAAATTAGAATGAACTACATCTGCAAGGAGTAGAAACTAGTGAGATGTTGGGTGTTCAACATGTTTGTGAACAAGTCTGTGCTTTTATTATAATAATAATAGAGCTGTTCTTTTCCCCTAAGCCAGACTGTTAACCAGCAAGACTAAAAACAAGTAAATTATCAACAAAATGTTCAACAAAGAGATGTGAAAAGAGTTGTGAAACACTGGGTGTGTGCACACATCCACCGATTCCTGAATGAATGTACTGAGATATTAAAAAGTGCCTTTGGATGGAGTGTGGAGGACAGTACTGTTAGAACCAGGCATCATCACGTATATGAAATAAATGGCTGGAAATGATTGGAATACATAATGAGGTTCTGCTGAAAGATCTGAAGTTATATTTACCGCTCATTTTTAGCCCATGTTAAACAAAATAAGCACCACCTCAGCTCTCTCAGATATGGATGCCTGTTGGATGGTACGTCACTGTAGTTCTCTCAAAAATGTCCTCCTACTATTTTCGTGGTTGTTCTATTTAGCAGAACCGAAGCTTATTTTGTCCTCATGAATAGAACCCAAAACCATTAATCAACTGGAATCATAAACCTGCCCATTCAGAGAGGAAGCTTTGTTTATTGGAAGTTAAAAATGATTTGTTGGTTGATCAGAGAGCTCAGAGACAGAAGGTCATGTAGAGGTTCTATCAAGTAAATGACAAGCAGATGAAAAATGTTAATTAAGTCTAAAGCACTTGTTAAGAAAATGTGACGTGGCAGTGCAGCTTACAGCTAACTGAGTCACTGACCGACTGACTGACACACACTGATTGTGTTTACATGCACTTAATAATGCAATAACTGCAGAAATGATCATGTTTACATGCATTCGGGTAATCTGATAATAGAGAAATGAAGTTGAAAAACTTGAACTTCGTTTCGAGGCTTTTTTTAAGATAAATGTTGCGTCACTTTACCTGAAAATATGAACAGACATCATCTAGCAGATGAAGAGTATTAAAATCTTTTATTTTGTCATGCTTGAATTTAGTTTCAGCGTCAGACTGAGAAATCGGAAAGAAATCAGAGTAAGAGTTTACAGCACTGAGAAATCTGATTACTGAGCTAAAATCCAGCCTCTTTATCAGATTTCTTAATCGGATTTCTAGACCTTACTCCGATCTAAGAAATCTGAGTGTGCTGTTTACATGACCGTTTGAATAATCAGATAACTGCAGAAATCTGATTATGATTGGATTATTGAGTGCATGTAAACACACTCACATGCACAAGCATCGCCCAAAATGAACCATGGGTAATGCAAGCTAATTAAAAAAAGTGACATCATCATCCTGCAATACAGAGCTAAATTATAATAAATGAAAGAACAAAAACACAACACTTTCACTGGAACCTGCCAGGGGTCTTACTAAAGCAACAGCAGCTCTTCCTAAACTAAGTGCTCATGTGAGCTGCGTCTGACCTCAGCTGGACATTCTCCCCCTGCAGGATAAACAGTGTTACTTAGCAATTGTTCACTCTTTCAGGTGAGGATAAAGTCCGTAAGTGCAACTACATTAACTGCATCTCAGTGTAAGCTGGAATGTCGAACGATCACTGTGTAAAGAAATCCACCAGTGTAAGCTGTGCTAGCTCTGAAGTTATAATGCTAATGTTGTTAGCGTGTATGCTAACAGCAATAGAACGAGTGGGCTTTGCTCTTTTTTAGAGGGAAAATGGTTAAAGTGCTGATCATTAAACAACATTTCATCTAAAATTATGTTCTAGATGGTCCAGGTGGTCCAGGAATTCCAATTGGTCCAGGTGGTCCAATTGGTCCAGTTGGTCCTTGTAGTCCATGTAGTCCAGCTGGTCCTTGTGGTCCAGGTGGTCCTTGTAGTCCACGTGGTCCAGGTGGTCCCGGCGGTCCCGGCGGTCCTTGTAAATTACTCCCCTCTTGTCTGTGGTAATGCTCACACACCCAGCCTTGCTCTTCTCCAGGGATGAAAGGCGTCTCCAAGCGCACCGGATCACCGACCAGTTTACACCTGGAAAAACTGTCATCCTGGAGAAGAAATTACAGTCAGTTAATCAGACCAAGAGAACCCACCTACACCCAGCAGTGTCACTCAGAGACCCCCTTCACTGATTTCACCTCCTTTTCTCAGTGAGGTTCTTCTTGATCAGCTACACATCCTTTCAGACCCACAGCGCTGAGTCGTCTTCTCACAGTGGAAGGATGGACAGAAACACCTGTGGATGTTTTCAGATCTGATCAGCTTGATTTTCTCCTCTCTCTCAGAGATGAAAGCTTTAAGTGCTGGCAGTTAAGTGGGGGCAGTTTTGGGGTCGACCAGCTCTTCCAGGTGGTTGTTAGGAGGCACGTTTTCTCTGCAGCTTTCAATTTTTCATTTTTAGAAACCCTGCAATTATTTATCTCCCTTAGCAAGTGGATGGTTTCATATCTAATCTCAGAGACGTCTGCTTTAGCCATTTTAGATGCTCATGAAAGAGAAATGTGGGTACCCCTTTAAAATAAGACCACCCTTACAAAGGGCTTATGAAAGGTTTTTATTATTAGTTAGGGCATAAACACTTCATTAATATTAATAAGCAGTTGTAGCAAATTAATAAAAAGGGCAAAAGTAAGTTGTTGTATGTGGTGAATATGAATGTGATCAAGAAGTAAACATCAAAATCTGAGATTTATAAGTACAAATTAATGTGGTTTCACTATTTGGCAAATAACAGCTAAAAGTTGCCCTTTTTATTTATGTGGTAAATGCTTATTAATGCTTTTAAGATTTGATATTAGGCTTAGCGTTGGAGGCTTTTGTGCCTTTTTCTGTTAATATGTTTCCTGCTTTTTATCTTATTCTGAAAATTGGATAACTTGTACTTAATGGAAGCTTTAGCACAGATTAGACTCTACATACCTTCAAATTCTACACCTGAAGTCATCAAAATAGTATCAGTCATACAGATTTTAAATGATGTTGAATCTCACCTCTGCTACCAGCAGTTTCTTCTTCTTAGCCTGAGTTACCAGCCAGTCCTGCAGACATACAGCATTTATACTGGGCTTCAGTGCAGTAATAGTGGTCAGTCATAATAACAGGCCTACTGTATATGTACTGTACTCAGTGGCGAGTCAGGGACTGCAGGGTTAGTGAGGATGTTTTTTTGTTTTTTTTCCCAGAGTAATGGTACACATGTCTACCTTTTCATAACCTAATGTTTTAAAACAGAACAGTAAACTATAAAGACTGGAGTCTAGACATGGTGAGTTGGGTCAATACAACTAAAAGTATATAATTGTAGCGGAATATGGAACAATAATGCTCCCTAACTAAAAGAACTGGTGACGTACTCTAAAGGGTTCTGTTCCAGTGGCAGTTCAGTACCTTGTTTTCTGATAGTGTACCAGCTGCTCCTCATCTGGGTTCTTTGCAGACATTTATCTTACATATACATATATAAGTACAAAAGCTTTTAACTCTAGAAGCTGCGCAACACATTGTTTCCATGAATGAAACTTCTCTGGGAGGGTTTGTTGTTTTTCTAGTGAATGATGTCGCAAAAAACTGCACTCACTCACCACTGACCACTAACTTAAGCTGTAATTTTGTTGTTCAAATATGTAAATATTACATCTAAACTATATCGAATAGATCAAATATCTGGCGTACAGCTGTGTTGTAGGCAGGCAGGACCAAAGCAAGTGGAAATAGTTTTTAAATGTTATTTTTTGCACATTGTACAAGTAAATACAACACACATACAAGTACAATTGTGTTTTAAAGGCTATTCACTCATAAGCACTATGAACACTTTGGTATGTTTTGACTTAAATTCAGAAAGATCTTTATTCTATATCTTTTCATGACCCACCCCACACCAATCAGATGCCGTGCACCCCACCCCGACCCCCCCCCCACCCCCATTATCTGCCCTGTGGTCTTTGTGAAATATGTATAAATATATTAATTTGGGAATTATTATATTTATCATTATTATTACACAGAATATTCTTTTACCCGGTTCCTCTGTGTTAGAACGGCGAGTCTGATGTTGGATCCTCTTGCTCTGCAGAACTTTGCTGCTTCAGTGCAGTTCCCCTCTGCCTCCCAGATCAAGTAGAATGACCCATCATAGAGAAGCCACGCCTCCTTTTTCTCATCCATTACCGGCCCTATGAACAAAAACACAGACAATACAGTAATTATTAAAAAAACACTGTTTCTGAAAGAAATCATTCATCAGAGCACTTTTGTGTGAAATGTTGTGAATGATGAAGGAGCAGGTTTACAATTTGATTCATCATATTTTATTGTACCAGCTTGTGTCGCAGCATATCATATTGTACTTGTTTCGGGACGGCAGGGAGGCGGACCCAAGTGCTAAGATGAAAACCTGTGAGAAAGGGTGTTAAATGAGTTCATTGAGGCAATGGAATGTAAATTGGGCACGTTGGAGTTGAGGTGACCCAGAGGCAGGCTCGAACCGCTGATGTACCACTGCGCCACCGGGAAGCACAGCCGACAATGGGAAAAACATCTCAAGGAACAGGAAATAAAAAGGCGGGAAAAGGGCAAACAAAGGGGACGCTGAAAGCAGCTCAAACAAAGGCTGAACTAGAAACGTGAAATAAAAGATAATCAGAAAACAAAAATTACTTCCTCTGTAATTATGAGAGGAAGGCAGACCTTATGCTTCACTTGTTTGCTCTTAGTGGCTCAAACACCTTTATTTGGCTTGGAGCCATTTGTAGCTCAAGCATTCTTGTGGTTTTTAAGTAGTTTGGGGGTAATTTCTTTCTTTAGTTTTTTTTTCAGCCCTCTTTCCTTTTCTTTTCTTTTGTTTTTCTTTCCTTTTCTATTTGTTTAAATACCCACCTGGGCTAAGTACCGTACCGGTCATCCCTCTACAAAGGTGTGACATAGTGCTGCTGTTTGCCACGGCCTTAAGTAGAGGAGACACTCTAAATATTCTAAGAAAATGAAGATGAAAAAATTAATATGTTTTAGCCTCTTCATTCTTACTGTATTGATAAACGTATCAAATTGAATCAAGGCAGCACTCTAACATGGCGAATAACGGATGTGGTGAATTTTACACCCCTGAATGTTACTGCAGTGCTGAGAATGATCCACCACCCTAATAGTACCTGCTCTGTGAGGGTCCATGGGGGTCCTGACCACTGAAGAAAATCACAGAAAATCTCACTCTAGAGACGACGGCAGAGGAGAGTGGGCACATTTACAGCAGATGTAGAAACGGTTAAGGTTTCATTTCACCTGTTAGTGTCTCTGTAAGTAACTTACTGAAGAGCCCGATCAGTATCAGTATAATGACCAGGAACAGAGTGTTGAAGATCAGCAGGATCATCATTAGCCTGCTGCTCCACTGTGATCCTGTTAGAGATGGACAAAGATGGACAAAGATGGACAATGTGAACGAGAAAATGCTCCCAGCTTTACAGCCCAGAATTCAGCAGCTCATTAGTGAAAGTGAGACTGATTTAATGTTAATTAGTAAACAAAGGAGAGATCTACGTGTAATCCAGTCACTGGAGCGAGTTCTGTGACTACTTTCACTAAAAGTGAACACAGATGAGAATTATGGAGGCAGCTGTCCAATAAACAATATATACATCAATAAAATCCAGTGTTTATCACCTTAAAGATAAAGCGTTTAGCATAAAGCTCACACTGATGAGTACTATAACTGACAGAGTGGTGAGTAGCGAGTCCAGGAGCATGGCAGCTCTGATCTGCATAAAAGAAAAAGAACTTCTGCTTTTGAGGTTATTAGCTCTCAATAAGAGCACGAAGAATATTACTTCATTTATTGACTAATTCAAGAAGAAAGTCAAATTCAAAATAAAGGCAGAAAAAACAGAAGACCACCCAATAACTATAGAATAACATAATACAACTGAGATAACAACCATAAACTCTCTGGGCAAAAAATGAATCACCTTATGTGTTTAAGGTGGTGACTAATTTTTTGTCCAGGGAGCTTGTGAATAAAAATCACTTGGCTTCCAGGTAACAATTGCTTCTAGAAGTCAAGGCAGGTCCTTCACAACCCATTTCTGAAAGAACGCTCCACAGGAAGTGATTTTTATTCACAAGCCTGGAACACACCGGCGGTCCCTGTCCATCAGTTTCGTCTTTTGGTCGCAATTCTGGTGAGAATTGCCTGTAGACTGGGATTTTTGCCACTGCTGGTCGACCCGTATGACCGTACGCTACAATACACCTGCATATTCAGCTACTTCCTTCACACTGGGGCTTTTGGCACCCAAATGCAATCACTCCTTTTTGCCAATCATTGGCATCTGCTTTATGACCCATTTTGCACACATCAAAGAAGACACTTACTCCACTGTACCACTTTTCTCAATCTATGAATCCCAGCACACACCCTGTGGGTTTTTACAGCCCAATCATCCTCGTGCAGGGACCTGAAGTTACTTCCACCTTAAACATGCAAGGTGACTAATATTTTGTCCTGGCAGCTTATTTCCCCATTCCTTTGTTATGTGGGTTCATCTTCTACCCTATACAACTTCTCACCATCACCAGCTTAACAAGTAAATCACCTCATGTTAAAAAGTGAGATTTTAATGTTAATTCTCTGCTGTATTGAAGGTTCTGTGTGTTCTCACCATGTGTTGGGTTTGGGTTCTTCACTGAAGGAGGATACTGGAGTGTCTGGTACACGTCCTCCGTCTTCACACACTCAGACAACTCCATCCTGCTGGTCTCCAGTTCCTCTTGTGAGAGTGGTTTCACTAACACTTATTTGGACTCTACTAAATTAGACTGACATAAGCAGATTTTGTTCAGTGTCATGTTTCCAATACATGGCAGATTTTATAGTGTTAGATGTTAGGCAGCTCATGCCATGTGCTAATTTTTAGTTAGCCATAATGACACCTGATGTGAAAATGACCTGTAATTAACACTGTTATAGCTTAATGTACAAAATCTGTCATAACGACTCATAACAGCATATCGGTCTGTCAGAAGAAAACCTTGTGTCTCCAAAATGGTAACTTTACAGGAGAAGGGAAAAACATACTTTACTTTTAATGCAAGTCAATGGAATCTGAATTTTTTCCAAGTCATTTTGAGTCATTTCTGTGGGTCCATTCATCACGAAATTACACACAATGTAAAGAGCAACAGACGCTTTCACATTATGTCAAAAACTGAAAAACGACAAAAATCTATATACAAGGTTTTGTTCCAACAGCGATATGACCTACCATGACATGTTTATGACATGTTTATGACTTGTTTATGGTTTGTCATTATCAGAGGAGATATTTTATTAGGATTTCAATTAAGCTGCTGCCGCACCACAGTCCTGTTTTGTTATTTTTAACGTGCTTTTGTCAACATAAACACTGAAGAAATGAAAAAAGTGGGAAGAGAATGTTAATCGAGTGTACTGTACGACACACTGCAGTAAAAGTAATAATCATATCATGGTGAGTGAAATCATCATAAATCTAGGCGATAAATATAATATTCCTGTAAGACTATTATGAGAGTGTTACTCATTTACAGATTTCTTTATTTATTCGAGGTGTTTTGAAATCGTCTTATTGTCTCATGTTTTACAAGCAAAGCAAAACAATACCTTTATAACATTATCTGTATCCTATAATGTCAAAATGAGAAATATTACATATTTGACTACACATGAGATGTTGCTCATGCCAAGATATCACTTATTTCCAGTGTATAACTAACTGATTGTTACTACATCATTACATTTCAATAATATAGAAAATAAATAGCAACTCTGAGCTTCTGAATGTGAATGTAAAGTAATCAGAAGCCAATTAAGGTTCACTCAGTATGAGAATAGAGGATTGAGTTCCTACCCGTCACTGATGGAACTGCCTGTTGTGTGTCTTCTGTAGTTTTGGAGAGACGGACGTGGCAGAAAAGTGGAGTTTGCTTAACTTCACTTCCTCTTTCTTTCTTAACCACAATACGTTTTACGTGGTCAAACACACTGGGCTGCATTCATGTACATACATCTAACCAGCAGTTGTGGGATTTGTGAGTGTCATCTTTGGTTGGTCTATATGAAATCACATCTGATTGGAGTGGTGAACATGTGAGCGTAATTAGGGAAGTTAAGTGTATTTCTAGAGCACCTTTCATAAACAGTGGCAATTCAAAGGGCTTTACATAAAGGAAAATAAGAGCATTAGAACGTTCCTCAGATCCAACTCAGAACGGCTTTTGCAAGGATAGTTACAATTAAAAGAAAGTTGCAAAACAATTACAAAGAAATGAAGCTGCAATTTTACTCGAGTCAGTTACTTTCAATTACATTTACAGTTAAACTGCGTCGGATCTCCAGCAACTTATTTTGTGCAAACATAAAACTGAGCTCCAGTACTGTCATTTGATGGCAGTGGAAATAATTTCCAGTATAGTTAAAGTTAGTCTAACACCTCAATATTTACCCTGTCTGTCCAGAGTGACTCCTTGGAGATTTTAGCCATGATTCAGCCAGTAATCCAGTTCAGAAAATCAGCATTCAGATCCTGCGTTTACATCCATTTAAAAGGCCACTTAAAACCCCCACAGCAACGTGTTCAGTACAAAACTTTCCATCGTGTCTCAAACAGTCCTCTGATCGACTCAGACTCTGAGTTTAGTGCTGATAATCAGACGTTTACAGATAAATATGCGTAAAAAAGCAGAAAAAGGCGATAAAATGTTAAAATGCCTTGTCCCATTCAACACTGTGTGCACATCCCTCTTTCCCTCAAAATCACATAAACATGCCCTAAAACACATTTTAACAGATAAATAACAATAAATACAACAAATGTCATTAAAAGTATTATTATAAAATTGAATATTTAGCTCTGTCTTTGTCAGTGTGTACACATTTGGTGTGAAAATTCGTTTATAAGAATTGTAAATATTTCACCTTTTCCTGATGTTTATTTGTGCCGCACTGTCTGTGTAACAGCCTCAATTTGACTTTTAATTGATTTTTAAACATAATCGTGTTATTTACAGTTGTTGAAAATGTTTAAAATATTACAATTTTACAAGATCTCAATTTCAGCTTTTATTTCAAACTAAACACAGTTTAATCAATCACCTCATTCAATCAGTGATCACTAAGATCAGTTCAGCAAATGCAAAGTGTTTCCCAGTTTATCAGTGGCTGAATGTGTGCAAAACAAAATAAAGACATAAATGCTGATTTTTCTGTTAAATTCTAGTCAAAACACTCTCAGAAATAAAGGTACTAAGCTGTGACTGGGTCAGTTCCCCTCCTGTCACTGGGGTGGAACCCTCAAGGCTCCATCTCAGTACCTTTAGTCAGGGAACATAACTGAACCATAATCCACTGAATGATATGTTCTAAGCTGTACTGACTCCACACACCCCGTCTCGTCTCCAGGCTTTTATTTTACTGTTCTGTTTAAAACATTCGGTTATGAAAAGGAACAAATACGAACTTTTCACCTGGAAACACTTATTTAAGGTTCACAATCAGACCTTAAAACCACTGTTGGAGCTTTGAGGGAACATTTACACTGTTTGTACCTTGATTGTACCTGAACAGAACCTTTATTTCTAACAGTGTAGTGTGCACTGTATTTTAGTAGTGCCTGATAAAATGGAATTTATTTAACGTTAGCTAATTAACTTCTGACAGAGCCATAAAATCACCAGTGGTGGACGAAGTACACGAATCATGTACCTGAGTTAAAGTAGAGACACCCAAGGTAAAATATTACTGCAGTAAAAGTAGAAGTTCCTCCCTTTAGACCTCCACTTGAGTAAAAGTACAAAAGTATTTGCCTTCAAATGTACTTAAGTATGAAAGTAAAAGTACTAAAAGATTAATTATGGCTCTGATGTCCTATTATCATTTCTGTAACAAGACTCGCTTCATTAACTCATTTTAGGTGAAAATACTCCAGTGTCTCTCTTGGTAAACCAGTCTTTAATAGAGTCATTAATTAGTGACGCTGATGTCTATTAAAATGATCATCAGCACAAAACACTGAAGGCAAACAGTTTCCATCAGGTAGAACTGAGTGGCTCTGAAATCACTTTTTACAAACAAGCAAAGTTTCAGTTTAAGATTTATTTACAACTTAGTTACAAGTTAAAATAAGTTTATTAAAAACATGCTTTAAACTCAGATTCACAAATGAGTTTCCTTTACTAAACTGCATCTGTAGGTCTCTGTTCATAAAAATAAACTAGACAAAACTAATTTACTATAAAATTAAATCGTGTTTGTATAAAAACATCTCAAAACTCATTCAGTCCATCGGAACATCAGCACTAGTGTTATAACAGGAATACACTGTTAATCAGAGTCACCCACAAACACTAACAACTGTTCTCAGGGATGTAGATACACTGTTTCAGGGAAGTCTATGAAGTGTGTAGAGTTATTTGCTGTGTAGTTATGTTTAATGTTATTCTTTGGTTGATCGCCTAAACAACACTGTAAACAGTGAAGCAGCACAGAAGTTGATCTGAGGTGTTTCTGAGGTTTAAACTGATGTAAAACAATTTCATCTAAATTTAAATGTTGCTTTGCATTGTTTCACTGAAAGATAAATTGTTAGACAATGTTGCTCTGAAGAGGACTGACTAAATACATGTTTCAGTGCAGTTTGTAAAACATTGAACACAAATCAGCTATAGATATTATTATTAATATTATTATTATTATTATTATTATTATAGTATTTTAATATGGTGTATCATGATATAATATTTTTGCCATATTGCCCACCCGTAGGTCTTCCTATATTGTGTCTTGTTTCTTGTGTATCGTATGCAGTGATGGTCAAAGCACACAAATTCACTGCTTCAGTAAGAGTAGAAATGTTCTTCTCCACACAGTATAAATATATATGTGCTCTGTTTATATGTTTGTGTTAAAACTCAAATATACTCGCTTTTGAACATACTTAAGTATCTAAAGAAATGGATTCTATTATTTTCTAATGATCCAACATTTCTTCTCTTTTTCTCTCCACCCAAAATCCTGAGATCTCGGCTCTCTGATTAAAAATATTGCACACAACAATACATCACTTCCTTTATTCATAAAAACTTGTCAGAGTTGCCCAGGCCAATGTACAGCTGCTAAGATACGACTGAAAGTGCGTCAAAAATTTTTCATTTCACAGTATTTCAGAGAAAGTGTACAAAGGTGGGGCACTTTTAAAGAAATGTACTTTAACAAGGACACACTGTGTCCCTGTGTCACTGGCGTGAAGCACCGTGGGGTACCAGTATTACCACATTTGAAATATTTTTGTTTTTTTTCTGTTCTGTATACAAGTTACCAGAGTGCTAGTAGCTCCCCCTTGTGGATACACTTGTTAATCAAGAGTGAGTGAGCGAGTGAGTGAGTGAGGTCCATGTTGTCCTTCGTATCTAAAGAAATATACCTTATAAAAGTACAGATACTTGAAAAAAGGGTTTAAGTGCAGCAATGAAGTACATCTACTTTGTTAATGTCCATCACTGACTGTGTGAATGTGCTGTTGTGTATCGCTTAATGACTATTGTGTTTCGCACTGTCGACAGGGTTGTATAGGTGTGTAGCAATAAAAGAATCAATCAACTTCAAATCAAAAGAAAAATCCAGTATTTTATGCATTTAAAAAGCAAATGAAAAACAGCAGAATTTAATTTTGTTAATAAAAGCACCAAATCGCTAAAATGAATTTTGCTAACATGGATTTTCTCATGAACATCCAACATATCAGTCATTTTCATGCAGTGTGATCTACGCCTTGCAGATGTAGTGCATTTTAATAGAGCAGTGGGCGTCGTTAAACCTCCCAGCCGTCTTTATATGTCCACAGTCTTCTCCTTCCTCTCCCAGACTGAGATCCTTCCAGTTGTCCGGCTGTCCAACTACCCACTCACTGCAACGGTCACAAAACGTTCACACTTTTAGACATTATTTACTTATATTAGGTAATTTAAAATTATCTCACTATACTGGCAAATCAGTTTGCTAGTTTCAAGCATGTTTCTTAAAATATAGTGAGATCATTTTACTTAATAAAATTACCCATAACAAGTAAAAAATGTCTAGAAATAAGGAAAATAATCTTAAATTAAGCTTACAATAATCTCAACAGGAGAAATATTAGATTTATTGACGATATTTAAGATAATTTTACTTGACAAGACCCCATTTTTGCAGTGTAATCTAAACACTGCATCATTTGGAAAGTTCTTTGCTAAAAATTCTCACTCTTTATTCATGACGTAAGGCGTTCCATCGTCCCATCTCCACTGCCCTGTGTTTTCATCTGTGAGACCAACCCAGTAGAAATTCGACGTAGTCCTGGCAGTGACAAACGCCTGGAGAAAGAATGAGAGCAGGAACAAGATTTTGAGACACAGCCATGGAAATAAATTCTAATGTGGGCTTGACACTAGGGGTGGGAGTCTCTAGGCACCTCATGATTCGATCTGATTACGATTCACGATACGATAAAATGATTATCGATGCATCTTTTTTTCAATACAGGATTTCTTTTTCCCCAAAGTATTTGTAATAGTCTATAATGAATTTACTTTCAATATCTTGTATTAATAAATCAAACGAAAGCGATGAGGCAAGTCAACTGGAAGGCTCTCATTCACTGCTCTTGTTTGGAGCACATGAGACGCTGCTGCCACTCATCTGTGATAAAATGCGCTGTTACGGTGAAATAAGATGCTGTGGCAGTGGGCGTCCACGCAGCACGGTACAGCTATCCTACCCGTTTTCTTCAAGGATTCCAGAACTGCGGTTTTGGTCTCGTTGCAGAGAGTGGGGTGGTCGCTGTGTCAGTTAAATATCTTTGAGACTGGACGCTATTTCTTGGCTCCAGCATGAAAGCCCTGGTTCTCAGTGATTGAGTACGGACGCAAATCCTTGGCGGTAAAAGTTGGAATAGAGTCTGTAATTCGCTTCGCCTTTCCCGAGTTGGGTGAAAAGCTCTGGCATACAGTGTGGCTCTTGTCCAGGTCCTTTTTCCCTTCAACTCCATAGAAGCCAAAGTGCTTCCATACGCTCAGGGGTCGGCAACGTGCGGCTCTTTTACTGTCCTGTTGCAGCTCTGCATCAGAATTAGGTTTTTAGGTAAAAATAAAATAATCCTCCTTTGCAGTAAAATAAAGCTCTGCTGATCGTTCAACACAGTTTAACAATAAATGGCCTTAAACGCTACTAATTCACCTGTAACCCTGAAGGTTGGGGTGCCGACTGCAGGTCACACAGCAACGCAGACAACATTCTCACCTAGCTAGCAGCTAATGACAAGACAAAGAGAGAGATTTTGGACTTCTTTGCATTTATAATCACTCCAGCTGGTTTCTTGGTACATTTAATCTGCAACGAGAAACTGACAAACACTTGTTTGAATTTTTCTGTCACACCATAAAAGGTGCAGCAGTTACATTCTGGCACCTCAGGCACCATTTAAGGTGGAATGGAAAAATTCAAACAAGAAGCTGGTGAATGAGAAGCCTTGTAAAAAGCCTTGTAAAAAGTCGAACTTTGAGAGACGTTTTACAAGAAACTATTCTACTTTTGAGGAAAAGTTTCCTGCTGGAGATGCGAGAAAAGCAGCTATAGCTGAGTTAAAGCTCAAAGCAGAGCAAAGGAAGTCTGCGTTTTTTAATATTATATTTTTTATCCTAGACTAGTACATCAGCACATACTGAGACATATTTACAGCCAAGATAGTAAAATGCACATAAAATGTTGTGGCTGGTGAGGTAGATTGATTTTTGTTGAGAGGACAAAATGGCACTTCTTAACATTTGGGTTGCAACCCCTGACCTAGCTTTTAATGCAGAGGGTGGCGGTCGGACTGTCCGGGCACTGCACTTCCACACTTCCAAGTTCCGTCGTTTGCGTTCTGTCAACATTATGTTATCAATTAAAATTTCCACAACTGCATCGTGATGCATCTAAGAATCGATTTTCCCCCACCCCCACTTGACACCAACTATAGAATGATGCACATCTCCAGAATCCTGTTGCCTCACTAAATGACCCCTATATATATTAATAATAACAATAAAACACATAATAAAAAAAACTGCGTGCAAAAATGCAGAGGTAGAAAGTTTTCAGCTCATAGTGACAGCAGTAATACAGAGACAGACTGAACGTGATCGCTGTCCAAATAAAAAACACGTATCTCCATTTTTTGCTGATTTTTATTATTCTTTATCATTTGTACCTGCCAGCTGTCTTTAACACTGTGTGAAAATTTCATGATGAAGAGATTGATAGATATGCTCTATAACCTTTTGGAATAGAACTTCTTACTGACGTTAAAAGTAAAAGTTTTTGTCCTCTCCTGTAAAGTTACCGTTTTGGAGATACATGTTTTTTGGACAGTGACAATATGAAAAGAATGTGCATGTGTTCCTCACCCGTTCATCTTTAGCTTCCAGTTTGAGCAGCAAGGCATTCTGGGACCTGCAGTAATCTCGTGCCTGGTGCCAGTTCAATTTGTCATCAGAGAAAAAGTAACACTTGCAGCCATAAAGAGTCCATCCAGGCTTACAAGTCGATCCTCCTTAATAGAGAAATTCAGAGAGAGTCGTGTTTTACCAATTTAAACCTAATGAGAAACTGTAGAACAGACTCAGTCTATAACACAATACCTACATTTAGAGTCAGTTATTCATTCAGCCTAATGAGAAACTGTAGAACAGACTCAGTTTATATCACAATACCTACATTTAGAGTCGGTTATTCATTCAGCCTAATGAGAAACTGTAGAACAGACTCAGTTTATATCACAATACCTACATTTAGAGTCGGTTATTCATTCAGCCTAATGAGAAACTGTAGAACAGACTCAGTCTATATCACAATACCTACATTTAGAGTCAGTTGTTTTCCAGTCTAATGAGAAACTGTATTTATAAAGTTTCTTCCTGATGAACATTAATACAGGGATGGAGATGGATCTTTATACCTGCTGTTTTACTGCTGCTGTCCAGTTTGGTCTTCATTTCACACAGAGCAGCCATCACTCTCTGATCTGAGGAGGAGAAGAAGAAGAAACAATCTGACCAGACTCTGCAATAATAATAATGGTATTAATAACAACCAGATAATAAGATGTTTAGTTTCCTCACCTGTGCTCTGTAGCTTAGAGGAGAGAGACTCTACAGAAGAAGACAATTTCACCACCTCAGTCAGCGTCCTGTTCTGAGACTCTTGGGCAAGGCAAAATGTAAAAGGTTATTATTAATGAAATTAATAATTATTATCAAAATCCTTCACTTAATCCACTGGTTCCGGATTATATGAACATAATAGAGCGCTTTTTAAATGAAACAGTAGAAGCCATATCACCCCCTACACTTCCTGTAGTGTATTACAGTCTGTCAGAAAGTTTGTGTGGATCATATGAATATTAACGAACATTATAGAGCATTAGCTAGCTAGGCTACGTGAGCTTCTTACCTGCTGCTATACAATTTGTTTGTCTAATTATTTGCCTCCTCTTCATTCAGTTTAATGTGATCACTGAGAAACATGAACACAACCTTCATTAAAACATATTTACAAATGACTTACTGAAGGTTCCAGTCAGTATCAGTATAATGATCAGTAACAGAGTGTTGAAGATCAGCAGTATCATGATTAGCCTGATGCTCTGCGGTGATCCTGTTAGAGACGGTGGACAATATGAAAGAAAACATCTCAGTTTTACAGGACAGAACTCAGCAGCTCATCAGTGACAGTGAGACTGATTTTAATTCTCTGCTGTATTGAAGGTTCTGTTTGTTCTCACCGTGTGTTGGGTTAGGGTTCTTCACTGAAGGAGGATGGTGGAGCGTCTGGTACACGTCCTCCGTCTTCACACTCTCAGACTCCATCCTGCTGCTCTACGGCTTCTTCTCACAAGGCTTCTTTAACTTTCATATGAATGAAATCATTAGAAACAACACGATCACTAAACCTGCTGCTCACCTTCACCTTCATAACTCTCAGAGAAGATTCTTCACTCGGATTCTGAGGGAGTGAAAGTGAGCTCCATGTTGCAGATCATCTACACAACATACAATTCCTTAAATTTGCATAGTTGTAACGATATTTAGTTATTGAAGTTCCTAGTTTCCTCCACTAGGTGTCACTAGTCCATTCAGACAGCTTGAGGAGCCTCAGTCTCAATCTCTGCTTCCAAATGAACTGCGGGAAGAGCTGCGCAAGCTAGGCCTGCTAAGATCCTCGGCGCTTCGTGAGCCTGCTAGCCGAAAGCGATGCGCGAGAAGACGGAAGCGAGGCAAGCGAGCCGGTGTGCGCGCCAGGCTAATGGCTAACCCCAGACAACCAGCCATTCCATCGCTTCTTCTCTCAAACGTTTGTTCCCTGGAGAATAAACTGGACTACCTCCGGATTCAGTGAGCTACCCAGCGTGAGTTCAGAGACTGCTGTGTTTTCGTTTTTACGGAGACGTGGATGACGAGCTCCACTCTGGACTTAGCCATTCAGCTCGATAGCCTGTTGTGCTTCCGTGCGGACAGAGACTGAGCTGTGCGGTAAGACTCGAGGTGGGGGACTGTGTGTTTACATCAACACTGAATGGTGTAAAAGCGCGACGCTAGTCTCCAGTCACTGCTCACCGCTGGTGGAGTTTGCGATTGTCAGAGCCAGGCCTTTTTATTTGCCAAGAGAGCTAAATATGCTGTTCATAGTAGCGCTGTACATAGCTCCCAGTGCTAATGCTAACGCCGCACTGAACAAGCTGTACAGCACTATCAGTGATCTCCAAAACACACCCAGACGGACTGTTTATTGTTGCTGGAGATTTCAACGATGCTAATCTGAAGCCAGTGCTCCCAAAATTTGACCAGTATGTGGACTTTGCAACCCGGGGGGCTAACGTGCTGGATCTTGTTTACCCAAACATCCCCAGCGCGTACAGGGCTGAGCCCCGCCCCCACTACGGCTACTCAGACCACATCTCTGTGATGCTCACTCCAGCATACAGACCGCTCATCAGATGCGCCAAACCAGACCAGAAGCAAGTGAGAACCTGGCCACCAGGAGCTATCTCTGCTCTTCAGGACTGTTTTGAACACACTGACTGGGATGTTCAGAGAGGCAGCAACCTCTGGTGACTCCATCAGCCTGGAGGAGTATACAGAATCAGTGACTGGCTACATCAGCAAGTGCATTGATGATGTTACTGTCTCCAAACTCGTCACAACTTACCCCAACCAGAAACCATGGATGACTGCAGAGGTGCGCACGCTGCTGAGAACCCGTGACAAGGCTTTCAAGTCAGGGACAAAGCAAGCCTCGGGATAGCAAGAGCCAAGCTTTCCCAGGCCATCAGAGAGGCTAAGCGTGCCTACTCAAAGAAAATCCACAATCACTTTCAAAACACTGCTGACACACGGCGCATGTGGCAGGGCATCCAGGCCATCACCAACTACAAGCCACCTCCACCTGCTTGTGACAGTGATGCCTCCCTTCCAGATGTGCTGAACGGCACGACGGCGGGGAAAACCACTCCTCCTCCAAGTGAACAGGTACTGTGTCTGTCCACAGCTGATGTGCGGAGAGCTCTACTCAGAGTCAACCCACAGAAAGCACCAGGATCTGACAGCATACCGGGCAGAGTGCTCAGAGAATGCGCCACACAGCTGGCTGATGTTCTCACGGACGTTTTCAACATCTCTCTGAGCACTGCAGTCGTTCCAACGTGCTTCAAGTCCACCATCATCATCCCTGTGCCGAAGAAGACTCCACTGTCCTGCCTCAATGACTACCGTCCCGTTGCACTCACTCCCATCATCATGAAGTGCTTTGAGAGGCTTGTCATGAGGCACATTAAAGACCAGCTCCCTCGTTCACTGGACCCACTGCAATTTGCATATCGCCCCAACCGCTCAACAGACGATGCCATCTCCACCACACTCCACCTGGCTCTCACCCACCTGGACAATAAAGACACCTATGTCAGAAGGCTGTTCATAGACTTTAGTTCAGCATTCAACAACATCATCCCTCAGCAGCTGATTGGAAAACTGAGCCTGCTGGGCCTGAACGCCTCCCTCTGTAACTGGGTCCTGGATTTCCTGACTAAGAGACCTCAGTCAGGATAGGTAATAACATCTCTAGCACCACCACACTGAGCACCAGCGCCCCTCAGGGCTGTGTGCTCAGTCCGCTGCCGTTTACCCTGCTGACTCATGACTGTGCTGCAAAGTATCACATCATCAAGTTTGCTGATGACACGACTGTGGTGGGTCTGATCAGCAAGAATGATGAGTCAGCGTACAGAGAGGAGGTGCAGCGGCTAACAGACTGGTGCGGAACCAACAACCTGTCTCTGAATGCAGACAATACTAAGGAGATGGTTGTTGACTGAGAGTGCGAGGTGACCACCGCCCACTTAACATCACTGGCTTGTGCTTCCATGCGGACAGAGACGCTGAGCTGTGCGGTAAGACTCGAGGTGGGGGACTGTGTGTTTACATCAACACTGAATGGTGTAAAAGCGCGACGCTAGTCTCCAGTCACTGCTCACCGCTGGTGGAGTTTGCGATTGTCAGAGCCAGGCCTTTTTATTTGCCAAGAGAGCTAACTACAATGTACATAGTAGCGGTGTACATAGCTCCCAGTGCTAATGCTAACGCCGCACTGAACGAGCTGTACAGCACTATCAGTGATCTCCAAAACACACCCAGACAGACTGTTTATTGTTGCTGGAGATTTCAACCATGCAAATCTGAAGCCAGTGCTCCCAAAATTTCACCAGTATGTGGACTTTGCAACCCGGGGGGCTAACGTGCTGGATCTTGTTTACACAAACATCCCCGGCGCGTACAGGGCCAAGCCCCGCCCCCACTACGGCTACTCAGACCACATCTCTGTGATGCTCACTCCAGCATACAGACCGCTCATCAGACGCGCCAAACCAGACCAGAAGCAAGTGAGAACCTCACGACTGTACTGCAAAGCACAGCTCAAACCACATCATCAAGTTTGCTGATGACACGACTGTGGTGGGTCTGATCAGCAAGAATGATGAGTCAGCGTACAGAGAGGAGGTGCAGCGGCTAACAGACTGGTGCAGAACCAACAGCCTGTCTCTGAATGTAGACAAAACTAAGGAGATGGTTGTTGACTTCCGGAGAGTGCGAGGTGACCACCGCCCACTTAACATCACTGGCTCTGTTGTGGAAATCGTGTCCACATCACAGAGAACCTCATCTGGTCCCTCAACACCAACTCCATAGCCAAGAGAGCCCAGCAGCACCTCTACTTCCTGCGGAGACTGAAGAAGGCTCATCTCCCCCCTCCCATCCTCACCACCTCTGACCACAAGACCCTACAGCGCATAGTGAGGACAGCTGAGAGGATCATCGGGGTCTCTCTCCCCTCCATCATGGACATTTACACCACACGCTGCATCCGCAAAGCCACCAGCATCGTGAACGACCCCATCCGTCCCTCACATGGACTTTTTTCACTGCTGCCGTCTGGCAGAAGGTACCGGAGCATCCGTGCCATCACTGCCAGACTCTGCTACAGCTTTGTTCCTCAAGCAATCAGGTTTTTAAATTCACAAGGACTGAACTAACACCCCCCGCCACACCTCTTTTGATGCACTACTTGCACTATCTGGAACATTGCTGCTAATGCTGCGTTTACACTGTTTCACTACCTCAGTAACTGCTGTGCTCACGTCTGTTATCTGACTGTGTAACTTGCAGATCACAGCATGTTAAATACCTCTGCACCTTATTCCACAACCTCATACACTGTCCTGTCTGTTTACTGTGTCTAATGTCTGTTTAATTTATTGTATTTATTGTTTGTTTCTAGCTTATTTTTTTGTTTGCACACTTATGTCTGCACGTTCGCACTTTGTACTTTTTGTTCCTTGTTGCACCGTGTTGTTCCTGGAGGAACGTAATCTCACTCCACTGTGTACTGTACATAGATGGAATGACAATAAAAGCCTCTTGACTTGACAAAAGAAAAGTAACTGCCAGCCATCATAAAATTCCTGTTTATATCACTTGTTAAACAATACGCTCCAAAAGTTTGCAGTTTTTTTTAAGATTTGTTGGTTTTTACTGCAGTGTTCATCTACAAAACGTTCTGTTTCTAAACACTGTTTATCCATTTAAAACAATGTGCAATATTTTAATGGAGTTTTTAAAAAGTATAACAGCTGATGATAATAGAAAACACTATTTTTTAAATAATTATGATTAATCATAGGTTAGTTATAATGCAGAATGATATTTGTTAAATGTGTGAAACTCACTCCCAACAATGCTTGAAAGACATAAATATTTTGAGAACAAAGGCTATTTTTTTTTCGTTTTGTTTTTTTGTGGACGTGACTTTTTTAAAGGGTTTTCTGACTTTTCTCCATCTGCATGTGGTATTTTTTACTCTGTTCATTTATTTCTGAACATTGTAGTCACATTCTTTCATGCAGAATTAATAATTCATTATATTCCATACTAACGACTGGTAATAAAAAATGACTTATCCTTGTCAATGGTTAGCTGGTTTTAATAGCACGTGGGTGTACTGATATGTGGAGGTACTGATACTAAATATTTTGTATGTTCTACCATCTTCATAAACAGCGGTCATAATGTTTCCCCAAAGTGTAGCACTGTCTAATCCTAAAGTTT